AGACCCTAGTGTTTTGTATTCTTAATAAAGAAAGTACTTTCCTCTAATACGTAAGTCAAACTTTTGAGTAAGGAACATATTAAAACAAGTTAAAAATGTAGCCACTAATTCATCACACAAAGATTCAGGGAGTATTTTTGCTTTTGGGTTTTTTTTTTTAATAAGAAATAAAATTAAACCACGCTGCAGCAGAGAGGTCCTGTGGTAAGATATGTGCATATGCCTGCAAGAGAAACTGGGATGCAAGACGGAATAATGTGCATAACTTCACATGGATGCCTTTCTAGGCATGTACACAAGTGTTTGCCCCTGGTTAAGACACACATCTGAATCACAGCAACAGTCAACTCAACAGCTTTCGAACATCTTAAAAGTTGGATTATGGGCACTGCTGTATTAAAGCTGTTTTGTAAAGCTGCACACAACCTTTCACTGTAATATTTACAGTTTCCTCTATATTTAAGGAACTTGCATCCTGTGAACTAAAATGGAGTCTCCTTCTCTGGAGCCTCCTTCTCTGGAGATCTTCCAAACCCGCCTGGATGCCACCCTGTGCCACGTGCTCCAGGTGTCCCTGCTGGATCAAGGAGTTGACTAAATGATCTCCAGAGGTCCCTTCCCACCTCGACCATTCTGGGATTCTGTGAAAATTCACATGAGTGTCTGTCACGGTCTCGTAACTACTGAGGGAGACAGAGGGATGGAGAAAACCGGCAAGCAGGTAACTAGCACATGCAGCCTACGAGACTTGGAAAAGGGAGCAAGGAAAACATGACAAAGACCAAGCAGGATGTGCTGAGGCACCGCGTGCACCAAGGCGGCCCTGTGCAGGGCTCTCCCTCGTGCCCACCAGCAGAGCTCGGGCTGGAGCCGTGAGGAGCCCTCAGAAGGGCAGGATGGGGCAGGGAGCCCACAGGGGCCTCCTCCCCAGGGCGCTGCACTCCCTAGCATGTGGCAGGGGCCTCCTCGCAACACGGGCTCCAGCCACCGCTGCCTTTCTACCCAGGAGGCTGGATAGATAGAAGGGATAGAATGGAATATCCAAGTGATGCGCTCGGCAACCACCAACACTGCTACTAACCACACGGACAAGCGCTGGTATTTCCACAGTTAGGCACCAAATTACTCAGCCCCGCGGGCAGGAGCTTCTGAATATGCCACCACCACCGCAGTCGGGGGGAGTTACTGATCTCAAGTACAAATAAGCCATTGTCAGCATGTGTTCATCTGCTCCATACAAGCAGGCAAACACTTTGTGTGAACATTTATTTACCGGTTTATGTATGACTTTCAATCATTTCATCTAGTTATTGTCTAACCGCATTTGTAAAGCACTTTAACTTCATATTAAAGGAAGGATATGAAAGCCATCAACCTCTGAAAGCTGAAGAGACAAACCTTGAACTCCACAGGAAATAAAATATTCTGTCTCCCTCTGCTGGCTCTACAGTAAATCAGACCAGGAGGAGAAAAAGGGAGGGAAAAAACAAACACACACGAACAGAAAAATATTTATTGTCACAAGAAAATAATTCCTGTGCTAAAATATTTTTTCATAAAAATATGACAGACTATTACTGAATGTTCTGGATACAATTTCAATCTATTCTATAATGAACCAGATTTAAGCATCCCTGCTTGCCACCAGCTGACTGAGCCATAACCATGTTGCTGAATGATTTACCTACCGATAATACACACTTTTTATTAAAATAAGATCAAATTTGCAATTCAAAGAAATTCTGGTTTGCAATTTTATTACTCAAACTTAATAATACAAGCAAGGTGTCCCTATACAAAAACAAGGAGAAAAGTATGAGATTAATTCTGCATATTATTTGGACAATAGTGGCAAAAGTAATGGACAAAATCATTTTTGATAAATACAACTTTGCTGATTTTCTACTGAATTCTGCCTGTGATACCAGCATAATCAGTTTTAAGCTCTCTGCTTGCTAGGATGGATTTGAAATAGGTTAACATATTTGAAATAGTGCTCCAGAAAAACTAAATTCTTGCTCTTCCAAATAAATCAAAATTACAAGAGGAAGATGCATGCACCTTTAAGCTATATTTGGTACCAGGCCATCAGTGTGATTTCTCTCCTACCAATTTACTTTACCCAAGTTTAAAATTTGTAGTATAATAAGGGGTTTTTTTTTTTACATGAAACTGGTCAGTCATCTTACAAATCCAAACTAGTGCACTGTACTGCTCTTAGATGCTCATGTATCTAGCAGAGGAACTTATCCAGCATCCAACAGAGCTGCAGTCACTCACGCTTCTGATCAACATGTTCAGCGAGTTTTATTTTGCACAGTGTTTTGCTTACAAGCAAGTGTTACATGTCAGCTACCGGTGCCGGACTGACAACATCAGGAAGAACCCAGGAGGTGCTGACAGAGCTCAGCACCAGCCGGTAGCCGGCGACTCTTTTCTCTTCCCCAGCTGTTCTACCTGCTCAGCAGCTGGAGGCCTGCGTGTGCCACGCTGGGTCCTGTGCCAGGCATCTTCCGCAGGCCGAGCAGAGACCGAGTGCCAGCAGAGCTGGAAAGCTGACCCCTGGACAGCTTTCTGTGGGGTTTGCAGAACTTCAATATATTGAACTCAACCGTTCTGACAAAACAACGCTAGATTCAGCACCAGATGGGTTTTACACTTGCTTTGAAACAGTATTGTTTGCAATTGGTGTGTACAGCTAGTATTCAAGTGTCTGAATGGGATCTTAATGATAATTTAAGACGTAAATTCTATTCCTACATTGAGACTTCACTACTGCCACACTGGTAATTTTTCTTCTTATTTTCTATAAACATACCACTGAACTCTATATAAGCCTGCTCCAGAATGACTGTATTATAGATTTTGACACTTAAAAGTTATTTAATGATAACACCACTCCAAAGAGTTTTAGTTAACCTCTAAAAATTTATTTTGAAAAGGAAAATATGTAACAACTTTTCCTTAGAAACCTGATAAAGAATTTAGTACTACAGGTTATCATAATGCTAATGCTGTAAACAACAGCACGTTATAAATCTTCATAGCGTGTAGCACAGTATTGCAAATATAACATTCAGAAAAAAACTTTCAACAATAAACTGCTGCAGATTTATACACTGAATATTTTTAGAAGGAGAGGGTAGTCTATAGAAAATCCAGCTTACAAGGGCTTTCATGGGCAGCAAAGCTCAGTTACATGTCAGGTATGTTTTAAAGTGAATTTCTTAATGATCCATCACATTAACTCCTGGAGTTTTTTTGTTTGTTTGTTTGAAGTTAGAAGTGGAGACAATGGATGTTTCCAGTGCCAGTACAATAGTTCTGATGAGATTTTAAGGCCTCACTACATGTTTGGCAGCTACACTTCTTAAGGCAGAAGTCATCTTTTTCTAAACATTAAGAAAAGAAAAAAGAAAAAAAAAAAAAAAGAGATTTTTCTTTTAATTGGATAACCTCTCCAGTTTGGCTCATTATATATCCCTCAGGGGTATTCAATAAATATAATAATACTTTTTTCATATTTAACCAGAAGAGATTTAATATACAAACCTACACAGAAGCTTCAGAAAGCCTACACACACATGAATGGATATTAAGCAATAAACTGCATTACATTAACATTTCTGCTGCCATCTCAGTTATTACTAGCATTTAGAACATAATGCTTCTTTTCATTCATCTAAGAATAAACAAAGGATCCAATATCTGCAAAACCACAACACATTTATATTTAGGATGAAACACCATACCCCTTGGCACCGATAGGACTTTACCTTGCAAAAGCGGTCAGCGTGTTCAGGCCTTCAGAATTTACAGCCAAATCCTCCAAATACTTAAGCACACTCAAAATTCACATACTGTCATTTAAAATGAGACTACAGGGTATGCTTAAGTGCTCACAGTACCGAGAAGCCAATTATCAAGCTGATGTTTAGTAGGAAAAAGAGTGAGAAAAACATTAAGTAGTGTTATGTCAGACAAGAACATTCATGCTCAGTTTTAAGTGGAATGAAAAAGTACTTGTAAATACCTGACAATTAAGCTTCACTGTAACAGACAAACTCTTAACTAAACTACATTAGCATATGCCACTACAGTAAGGTTTTTGTGTTTTTTTTTTTAATAAAATTTGTACATGCACCTCAAAGCTACTACAGGCATTTTTGTGATGAGGCCATGCTTTATTTACTGTACCTGAACATTTCTGTACCTGTCACGCTGCATGTTAATGAAAAAAAAATAAGATAGGGAATGTTAGATTATTTTCATATATCCTTTCTAAAGGCATCTTTTACAAATTTTTACAAAAACAAGATATTCATTTTAACTGTAACGGAAGTAACAAAAGCACTACAGTATCTTTAGATGATGACTGCCAAGTTAAATAAAAAGGTCCCATTGTGTTGAAAGAAAAGACTACACAACTGAAGAGCAACATTTCTCTTCTTTCCCATGCGTTCGTTTTTAAACCCCCCAAAACCACCACCTGAGGAAAGGGGGTTTGCGTCACCACTCTGCCTCACTTTGAGCCAACTCAACAGAGAGGGGTTACAGACTGTTAATAATGCTCAAGCAAGACAACTCTATACACTGTCTATAGAACTTCCACGTAAAAGAATTTCCAATTTTGCCACCTCTCTTAATGTCATACTAAAGTTAAACACAATATACACACCAATAAATAAATAAATAAAATCAAGAATTTCTGTGTATAAGGGCTGGCAGCCTATCTGCAGTAAGAGTGCCTCACCAATACATCACACCAACACAACCAGCACATGTAGTTAGCTCAAACTGCACTCAATCTGCTCCCAGGCACACACCACAGCCATCCCAGGAAGCCAACCATAGGCAAATAGTAGCATAACCTGATCTCTTGGCTTTAAAAAATAATTTAGAAATCACATATAATCAAACATGAGGGCTTAACTGAACTACTGCCCACATTAATGAAATAAACTACTTACACTAATACACACGTACTCAGAAGGGCACTTACGTCGTTTCTGGGAAACGGCCTGTAAACAGGCGGTGACAATATCACAGTTCTTCTGCACTTTATGCATAAGTCTGTCTTTCTGCTTCAGAAGGCGAAGTAGCTTTGCTGACTGAACGAAAATTCTGTAATTCAGCTCTTGTTTTATAGTTTTCAGTTCATCCACATCTGCCAATAAGCAGAGAAATTTATTTCAGACCGGGCCAAAACGCAAGTAAATAGCTCACTGCAGCTGATGCAGAACAGGACTTGCCCCACAGACATTTACATAAACTTTCCACAAGTCTGTAGTTTATCGAACAAGAGTTCCCTATTAAAACTATTTGCAGGATTTGAGCTTAAGCCTTTTAATTTTGTTTTAAACTTAAGTACTTTTACTTATACCACAGTGTCTGAATATTAAGAACTCTACTGCTATAAACTAGAAACATTATGGCAGATGAAGGCGTCATGTATCCAGTAGCTACACTGCTGCAGATGTAACCTAAATACAGTGTTGTCTGGAAGTGGGCCCACAGAAAACCTGTGTGAGGTGCGAACAAGTGCTAGGGACACAGAAACACGTTTAAGCTGCCTGCCAGGTTAGAAACACAATTCCAGGATGAGCTGTAAGTGGGAAACCCTTTCCAAGAAAGTGGCAACTAAGTTTGCGATTTACAGGATAGTGGAGAATCAGAAATGATTGCAGGGAGGGCAGTCACCGTCAGGACAATCCTGCATTTTGCACCTTCCATCAGTTTCAGCACCACCTCTCGCTCAGTGCCCACCAATAATTGGTATCTGGCAAGGGGATTTCAGAACCACATCCACTAATTTTAATAGCAAAAAGAGTAGACTGCATTCCTATTGACTTGTATACTCCTCACAAAAGGAGCAAGATGGATTTTATTCTTTCCAATCCAGCCCAGTTAGTTGCTCCTGCAACAGCAACTGATTATCCTTGCAGCAAAATTCATTAGTTTTGAATCTACGTCAACAAAATACTCCAGAGCAAGCAAATCTCTTGTTGAGTCACAGGTTCCCGCTGGACACAAAGAACATGGGCCGCATCTTGTAACATCATCTCCTTCAGAAGTCAAACACGGAAGCAGAGAGCTATTTGTACAGGTCAGAAAAAATACAGGCAAGTTCATTCATTTCCTGCTTTTTTTTTCCCCTAATGAACAGCAAGAATGATTTAACACGAGAGGATTTATCAGGAGACAAGAGGCTTTTGAACAGTCCTCTTAACCAGGCCAGGCTGGAGTTATAAGTCATAGCCTTTTATGAACATTCACTGTCACATCTGCTCATTATCCATTAGAATTATTCAATAGTTTCATTTTGATTAGTCAAACATTGCAATTTTATTTTCTCTTACATATCATTTTTTTTTCTTTCCTGGAACACTTGGGTTTATGTGCAGATAAACTAAGCCTAACAACCGTAAAGTTGAGGTCTGCCAGGACCGAGAGGACCTGAAAAACTACCTGCCTTCAATCACATGGTATGTGCAGCATCCCTTCTAGCTTAACGAGGCAGGGAGTTAGCACATCATAAACATCTAAATGTGTGGAAAAAAAAAAAGTTTCCTGAGGGGGTGCTCGGTCCATTAACACCATAAGAGGACCAAGAAATCTCCCGGGCAGGGACCCTCTGGGCGGCAGCGGGGGACGGGGGGCAGCCGGGCACTTCGTG